TGTGAATTCACTGAATAAGCTGTTACACATCTCGAAAACTCTTTGTCAGTTGTCACAGGAGATTTCAATTGTTGTGACAGTTCTTTTCTTGAATCATTAGGTCATGTCAATATTGTTAAATTTCCTACTCGACTTGATAAAACACTGGATGTATTATTTAGTAATGACGCGGAAATATATTAGTCACGCAGACATGCTCCTATAATAAGCTCTGATCATTTTATTATTCAGATATTACCTAAGATATATAACAGATCTCACTCCATTATCCTCTCAAATCTGTCCAGAAAAACACAACAAACGTGTTACTCACAGGAAAATGTGCTTAATTTAAGACGTATGTTAAATGACAGAAACTGGGAACTTTTCACCGAACACACACTGGATGATACTATTTCCAATCTGACTTTTTATCTTAAATTCTGCCTTGATATTTGCTGTCCAAAACAGATACTTTTCAAAAGAATGGATCGTTTCTCTTCTCCTCATCTCAGAAAGCTTCCGAGAGAAACACAGAGACTGTACAAGACTAAGGATAAATCTGGTCTTAGGAGGATAAATATCCAAATTAAATCTGAAAGCAACAGGCTTAACGATATTTATAATGAAAGAGTATTGTCATGTAAAACTTCAGGAAACATGTGGAAGCTTTTTTCAGAGAAAATACAGGTTGTGGTGAGCATAGTATTTGTGCCCCTTCTGTTGACATAAATACTCCTAATAGATCTTTTATTCGCCCTCCTAATGTCCCTTTTAGTTTCATTGTAAAAAATCACCTGACCAGGGACTTTCATACTTTTGATACTTCTGATGTTCTTAAATGCTTAAAATCTCTTTAAACCTTCTCAGAGTCTGGGTCCTGATGGTATACCTGCCATTGTGTTAAAGAAATATGCTGATATTTTAAGTAACCCACTTACAAACATTTTCAATACTTCTTTTTCTAATGATGTTGTACCTTCTCTGTGGAAAGATATTAAAATCATCCCTGTATCCAAGTCAGGTTCTGGAGATAGTGTTAAGTTTAGACCAATTGCCATTACCTCTCCTTTTTTGAAATTAATGGAGGAATTATTGTTACAAAAACTTGTTCCCTCCTTAAGCTTCTCAAATGATCCGAAGCAGTTTGCAGTTTACAAACAGGGTAGAAGTACTTTGTATACTGCTGCTGTGTTTCATCACAACATTGTATCCTCCTTAGACAAAGAGGCCAAGTATGTCCCTTGTGCGTTCCTTGATTATACATCTGCTTTCGACTCTTTACTTAGAGGCCTTTGATAAACAAGCTTAGCCTTGCACAAACTGAGTCCTGGGCTATCAACTGGCTGCACTCTTACTTCTCTGATAGGATGCAGTACACGGTATATAGCTGTGCATCTTCCTCTTCTTTTGCTTCCTGAAGCTGGAGTTCCTCACGGTGCTGTTCTTTTTCCGTCTCACTTTTCCTTCTTCCTACATGACCTACCTCTTTCAGATGAAATCAACTTCGTCAAATATTCAGATGACCTGAATGTTTCGCTCCCCGCTAGGTCTCAGTCAGACTGTTTCAAATTAAATAGCTCCCTTTCGGACATCAGTCAGTGGTCTAAACTAAATGGCCTCATGCTGAATCCCTCAAAATGGCAGGTTATTGACTTCTCCTTTAGGCATAAACGAGATCTACAAACACTAGTAAGTACTCACAAAGCCTGTAGGATTCAGAGAACTAACATTGAAACTAAGCCTAATGCAAAATACCTCGGTCTAGTTCTATCTTTCGACCTTACGTGGACATCTCATATCCTAACAATTTCCAAGAAATTGTTCCGGCTTACCTACTACATTAAGAAACTCAGACTATCTGGAATCACCCAACCTCTACTTTTGCAATTTGTAAACTCTCGTATCTTACCTATTCTACTTTACTGCTCCACATTAGTCCTTCCTCGGCTACTGAAAAAGGATTATACCATCCTGAGAAGGATGTTGAAAGTAGTTGGTAGGACTAGTGGTGTAAAACTCAGTCAGTTCGTGTATACATTAGTAGTAAGGCATATGAATACATAAGAAAAATGGTCTGAAACCATACTCTCCGACCCTAAACACCCCTCTATTCCCGATTTTCTCCTTGTACCCTATCAGGTAGAACCAGAAATCAGTATTAAATAATATATGCTCGTACAACCAAGTATAGGAACTCAGCAATACCAAATATGACCAGCCCGTGTTCTAAGTGACAGAGACAATGTTAAGCGCGAAACGTATGACTTGCTTTGTTGTTAATAACATAATTTTGGCTTTTTTATTTCTCTCTTATTTGTGTTCTATAGTGAACAACCTTCTTAAACATACTTAGCTACCTAAATTATTAACAATGGCTTACTTTTTTATTCTTTATTCTATTCCTTCTTTTGTGTATCTACTGGTCCTGACTGTATTAGCACTGAGTATTACAAAATTGTCCTGTCATTAACTATCATGTAATATTAGTCTTGTGGTTGCTTGTGTTCAGCAATATTATCTGACAATCTTGTTTGTGAATGCCATTATTCCCATGTTAAGAAGTTTGTAATATGCAGGATTACTGACTCTACCACTATAAACACCGCATTACATCTGACAGTAAAAAGACAACCTGAAATGTTATTTTATGATTGTTTAGTGTTGTTCAATCAAATCAACTGATCACCTTGGCGATACACATTCTTGAATATCATTTCATAACTTCTAGTATGACTATAGCTTTACTGTCACCACGTACAGACACGTCATAACTTCCACTACACAATACTGAGATATTATGTTGTTTATTTTCCATTCCACTTCTTAGTATTTCTCCACATTTTTTAATATTTTTATGTTTTTTGTTGTCTTTTTTCACACATATTTTTTGAAATACTCCTTTTAAATGTTGGATAAAAAAAGATGCAATATTGTAGATATATGCTGAATATTCCACATTGTACCACTAGTACTGTTTCTGGAATAAAGCAAAATTACTATTATTATTATTATTAGTTTTCTTTCAGCAGTGAAATCGAGTGAGTCTCATCAAAAACAGTGTGTTGTTTTTTCAACTCGCAAAAAAGGCAGCCACCTTGTAACCCGAGACGCGATGTGTGTTGAAAGCAGCTTAGTAAAAGCGCTGTTGCAGTAGAGTCAAAAGCAGCAAAGTGTTCTGGAAAAAAGACTCAAACAGGCTTCGCGCACATATCAAGACCTGAAACAATATTGCAGTGGAGTAACACGACAGCATCTAACGTGTTTCATCTGCATTTGTAAGTAAACTTATCAGGATCATTAAAAGATATCAAAGGGGTTTGCGAACATGCAATAGAAGCATCTCCATTGTTGTTGCAAATAGAGACGTTATGGTTATTGGCACAAAATGAAAACCCCATCCAGAAGATGCTACTGGTACAAGCTCCACCTTTTATTCCTCTCAGGCAGTATGTGTTGTATCCCTGTAAAGTGAAGCATTTCCGTAGGAGTTGTGATGGGAAGAGTTTTGTATATCACTGAGACCTAGTCTGTGTCGTGATTAAAGGATTTCAGACATGATGTCGACAGAAATAAAAACAAAAGTTGCTGTATTCAGAAGACAATTCTCTGGAATACTACTTTACGCTCATAACAATCGACTCGATATCAACGCAAGCGATAATGAAGGACAGATGATCAGTTGGAGATGTATTGATCAACCAAGTATAAAACCAATATAGTCGTTTAATTACACATCAGTTTGACCATGTTATTCACAGTGTTGGTTTCTATCAGTACACTGAAAAGTCTATAAGTAACTTTAGTATAATATGCGCTTTTCCTTCCGATCATATTGCACCCATCTCCTGTCAACGAGAAGAGGTCTAAGTCAGGATGTTTGTCGTGTTTCACAGACTATTAAAATAGCTTGTCGGTAGTGTTGAGTCGATCAGTACTAACATCAATCTTGGTTTTTCATGTGATATATCTGAATGAGGCCTAGTGAATGCAACTCTTACGGAACACTGAGATGAGCGGGATATTATGAAAAATTACAAACATCATTGTTACGGCTACTGGAGTCCGCTGAGAAAATCTCTGCCTGGCGAATGTTATGTGATATATCTCAATGCATCTTCACAAAAGATAATTTGCAGTATCCTCCTTCTCTCAAATTCGCTTCGACTGTTTATGTTACTGCCTCTTGATTATTGGAGTTTTGCAGTCTCATTCAAAGAAAAGGAATTAAGTGACAGTCTTCTTCCCACGCGTAAATCACCTTTACAACAGAATCCAACCAAATCTCTACTACACTTCATTATCCGAGATTTTGAAAGCAACTCACATGCAGCGAGACTTTTTACTTTAGTAAATATTCATCGGGTAAAACACGAATGAAAAGCAAAAAACCTGAAAAAAACAAAATTGAATATGCGCCTATATCAAGCAAGTTATTTTGGCTGCACAAAATAGACACTTTCCAAACGCATCTGTGAACACTTTCTCGCATGGTAAACAAAAGGACAAATTAACACAGACACTCGCTGAATTCTCGAACATTTGGCGAACTCAAGCCACACAATTCCAGCAGAGTCATCTTTCAAAATAATCTACGAGGTGTGGTCAAATGGCACAAAATATGTCACGTTTTGACACTCGTGTATGTCAGAGACGTTTGTTAATTGGTGAATACAACCGCGAACCACACTTACTCTTGAGTTTCATCAACATCAAGCAGGAATTCTGTTATAAGACTAACTTGTTCTACTAGGGAGAATATTCCTTCTAGCGTGAAAACCAGAATACTGTATTGATGCTGAACGTACGCTCACTAACCCACCCACACAATCACAAACTCACTCACTTGACCAACCGCCAACAACTAATCAACACACACGGGCCTAATTCAACAAGTGGAAAACAAGATAAGCACTACTATTTTTATCAAACAACAAACGCATTACAACACTACAACTCACCATCAGCAAGAGTATAAAAGCTGTGAAGTGGAACCAGAGAAAACAAAGGAAGCAGAGAATATGTTCAACTCAATGTACCGTTACATATCTGTGATAACGCTGCTGGTGTTTGCCACCATGAACGAGAGTAAGCATATATCAAAATGACTGTGCATTTGTGACTCTATTTTCAAATAAACCTTTTTTTGCATTGTGATGAATGTTACTGTTCCATCCTATCAGTGTTGTGTAAGACTATTCCGTGATCATATTTCTGAGAGGAGACTGCTTGTGTTTCCAACACCACTCCGTTTTCAGTATCTCACCTTAACACATCACTCTCCTTCAGTGATGAGAAGTATTTTGATGTCGTTGATCTGTCCATCTCCAAAATTGTAAGTGAATACAGCAAACATTCAAATCCTCCAACTGGTGTTCTGCTAATTAGCAATTTCTCAGATTTCCAATCATATACAACAAATCATCACATGGCTCTTTAGGCTTGAAAGTTAACAAATTCTTACATCGTGTTCACGTGTTAATAAAGTTCAGGTTTGTGTAACAATGTTTGTTCTCTTCATTTTGTCAATTTTAAAGGCACGTCGTCTAAGTTAGGAGACATGGAAGAATTGCTTAAGGGCACTTTGAGTAAGACGACTGATTTCATATGGATATATAATTCTTCTTGCATTAACCTAAAGAAGCTTTTGTGTACTTTGATGTTTCGTTACATCATGTCTCTTGTAAAATCCCTCCAATTGTAAATTATTCGAAATCAGTCTCCCTTTCTTTTCCACAGATGATTTACCCGAATTAGCTAAGTCGATTACCAGAGATGAAGAAGAAATTACAAAACTGCAAAGTAAGTAATAATTCCATGTGATTGATAATTTGGCTCGGTATACTCGATTTGGCCATATGGTGTTCGTATGAAATATTGTTATATTTTCAGTAGATTTCCATCATAGACTATTTAGTGGAAATGCTTCGACTTCAGGTATTGTAATTATGTGGAGCGAGCTGACATGAAACGTATTCAAGTGAGGATATCAGAACACATCTACCTGACTTCTCAGTCACTTCTCATCCATTCGCATTCGCTCCAATAAGTAATTTTACACGTTCATGTTCATGACATTCACTCTGTTGTAGAATGAATACACTACGGTGTGGGCATGCTCCAGTAATAACCAACTGACTCGCTGTTTCCAACATAGTAAATGTTGAATTTCCAACCGGTGTCCAGTGTCATGCAGTGACTCTACTTACTTCTCTCTCTCTTTCTTTAGATAAGATTATTAATGAAGTCACAGAATCCGGCGAGAGAACCCTTGAGAACTGTGAGTGATGATTTCATGAATTTCTCTGACTAACAATCTCTTTCAGTTGTCAGCTGTTGCAGAAGATTTTATGAAAGCTACTCCGGAAACGAATTATTCAAATGTCTGTTCCAAGATTTATTTCAACTGTATATACTGCTTTTATTCGCATGGTTATCAGATGAATTTAGCCAATAATCTTGTGTTAGATAATGAAGGTCGACTATGTTGCAGCTAGAAAAATTCAGTGAGATCCTACAACTTTGAAAGCACACTTTAAGACTTGAAACAATTATCTTATCTAATGAGATTACTCACTGATTTAGTGTGTCTAGGGGAATGTGACTCATTGAGGTGGTTGAAGGGGATACATGTTCATGGAATTTCACTTCTTTCTTCGAGATGTTATAAACTTGCTTGAATCTACAACTCAGTTTAACGCACACATTATGTCATCATTCGCTTTTTAGTGCCGTGTTCAAAACTCTAAAGTCAAGCATCAATCAGAAGGGTTAAGACGCTGAATTCGATCATCAGGCAAATGACGTCAGCTTGACATTCCGATGAAATGAACACTCCATTGAATCGATCAAAATATTCATCTTGCAGTTGTTTGGAAAACAACCTGATGGAAAGTGAATGATTGAGGAGAAACATTTCCGTCTTTGGATGTAATTAGGAATAATAAATTTCACGAGAACTGAGTGAAATTGTAGGCTGGTCCATTGAATTGCATTATGATAATCAGCAGAATAGATTGACGAAGTATGCTTGAGCATACTGTCGAATTAATCAGGTGTGATGTAAATCCACATACAATACAGTATTGTATAAGGAACTATTCTTTTGGATGATCTCCTAATGTCAGTTATCATTTTCTGTACTTTCCAGTGACCTTAGACAAGCTGAAATGGTTCGCTGATGTATATGGTAAATTTATTTTATGTCAACCGACTTCATATGTGGTTGTTTTGACGTTTTCCTCATCCAGTATATAGTTCAAAGAATAAGAAAGATATCAGAGTTAAAATGTATCCCTCGAATCTATTTGACAGGGGAAACCACATAGAATTAACTGATAAATTGTGTACCGAAATGTTTTTTCAAGCATTGGTTTTTGTAGGGATTTTGTTTGATTGCATGGAGGATTTATTCATGAGCTTACATCAGTTAGAGAACCACTAGAAAACCTGGGAGTACTGGACAACTGTTTCGTCCTAGTTTGGGACTGTGTTTGGAAATGTGTTATAGGTGGAACTCATTGGCATATATATGTCTGATGTTATTTCCAGAACTCAATGCAGGATGAAAGAATGTTGCATTCAAGCGTAAAAGTTATCCTTGGGGATTATGTAGTCATTTCATATTCGACTTGCATAGTGCTCACTCCCCATTTATCATCCATCGTAGCGTCTTTCTTTACTCTCAGTGATCACTCCATCCAAAATGCTTCCTTGATTGTTACTTCAGCAATTTATCAGAATTATTACTACCCACTGATAGCCATTCCTCCAACACTAATGAGGTTCATTGAAAATTTGCTCATATATTTAACTGGTCATTTTATGGAGAACACTTATCAGTGTGTTACTACGCAATCGGTTAGCAGAGTCATCGAAGACAATCACCGTAGACCATATTGCAGTTTCAGAATGTATTCGAACCTCTGAATCACTCACTATTCATAAGTGAAATTCACACATTTATCTAACACTACGTTTCAAAGATAATTAACATGAAATTCTGTTTTGCTTGTAATACATTTACATACAGGTCTTTTCCCAGAGCAGCAGACCATTCGAGGATGTCTCAATAAAGAGGTTGATGTTTACGCAGGTAAACAGTTTAGTTAGGTTTGCATTCTTACTTCACACTTATTCAATAAACATTCCTATCTGTTATATCGGTGTCTATTTCACTTTACAACTATCCTGATTATTTCAGGTGCAAACCAGAGAGTTGAGAGTGGAGATTTGTTATTCAAGATAACTAAGTTCAGAATTATTTTGTATGATGTTTTGCCATTTCATAGGTGTGTATTTGCATGAGTATTTGTTGATAATGACAAGTTTCGCTTCTCATTGTTTCAATGTGCTATTCTGTCTCTCTCTTCTGTTTCTTCATCAGCTAAGTTGCGAGCAGAACAAGCATTCGACTGTGAAGATTATATACCAACAGGAAACCGTTTGGGTAATCTACTGATGACCAGTCACTCTTGAATTAAATTACGTAATAATACTGCCTTGGAAGATATTGAGGGAAAATTTCTGAATTTCATCAGGTCAATTCTTGAAAGTCCAATGTATTTTCATGAGATTTTGATTCACAGGATTCACCTACCTCTCAATTTGGTAGGGTTGTCAGTGAATTCGAAGCACATCTGTCAATGTGCAGGATACTGTATCAGGTTTAATATCAGATGGCTTTCTTTTCAGGGTTGCTATTACACATTACATCTGAGAAGTGTAATGACGTGAAATCTGAAGTCTGCGGAACTGTCTGTTGTAGTTGAGACTGCAGTTGTTGTGATTTAAACACTCATGTTCATTGACATATAAGACAGATTTGCCAGTCGACCAAAACTGATGGCGTCAAAATTATCCGATTTCAACACACGATGAGAAATTATATGTCAATCCAAGGGTTTATCAAAAGTGTTCTTACTGTCTCCAAAGACATGCAATAATCGACGTTTAAGGGAGGGATAACGTGGATGAGGTAATCGTCTATCTCAACGACAACACATTATACCAAACCACCAATTATTTCACAGTATTCCACATGATAACCGTTCACCATTTGATTTTGTGACATTCAATTTTAGAATGCAGGCATTATCTTTCAAATTTCAGATATAACAGACTTGAAGCATAAAATAAGAGATGTTTATGAGCGCAAACTGTTCTATGCTTCAGCCCTTAGTAAGTGCAATTTGTTTTGTTCATGCGTTCTACACACTTGATTTATGCATCAATATCTATTCACAATATAAAGCACAAACGATTACCTGGTATTCCGCATAATCAACAATTGCAATAATCACATAACCCTTGTTATTAACATGGACATTGATCTCATTTCAAACCAAAAGCAGCAATACAATCATCTTAGAATGTCTAAGTCTACACAGCGTTGTGCATCAGTTGGTAGTTAGTACACAACTTTTGGCAGTTTGTAGGTCTGTTCACTGAAGAATGTCAACCGATCACACAGAAAACCAGAGTAGTCTGAAATATCCACTAACAGATTACTTTCCAGGTAGAAATCGTCAAAATGTCGGCAGGTGACAGTTTAGTTTCACACAGGCTGATCTTACTCACACACGCACAATTGACTACTTATTTGTCAGGCAACGTGGAAATTCAAAGAAGGAACTAGATCAGTACTTGTGTTCGCGTAACAATAGATTAAATTCAGGCGACTGTGACACGTGTATGCCTATACACGTCAGGAAGACTAATCAATACAACAGTGACAGTGAATCTTCGTTACAACGCTGAAGTTAGAATAATTGACGGGTTCTACTGAATGACTGTGACCAACCTAGACATGAGTGTTGCCACATTATATGAAGTGTTGAATGATTGAGCGTGATATGCCCTTCATCAAACAGTTCGTAGACAAAGAAACGTATGCAACGTTTTCTATTACTCTGCACATTGTCAGATCCTATCAGTTGTCGAAGAAGGAGTTTACACATTGATGAAAAAGACTAATTTTCATTCGACTAATATGTCATCGTTACACTGCTCTTTTAATTTCAAGTGCTCAAGAGATTACTTGAAGAAGATATCCAGAAGTTGAAACGTAAGATGCACCTACTATCTCATACGGAATCACCATTTATCATAATTCAAAATTTACTCATGATAGAAAATACCAACCTATTTATTTAGATAAATATGTATAACTAGAATGTGAATGCAGTCCACATGAAAATAGTATTATTTGTACTTTGAACACGAAAGACAGGTGTAGTGGGATTCGGTGAACCACCTATTTATTCATGCCATATCATACAATATGAAATCATACCTGGTATGATGAAGACAATCATGCAGTGTATCACAGACTTGATATTCAACAAAACCCAACCGACGTCTTCTTCTCATGTGAACAACAGTTGTGGTCAAGTCTGCTTGAACCATGTCAGACATACCCAATACACCCTCAATCATACCCATGCATTTGAGATATCTGAAATAAGATGACCGGATCAGGATGACTGCAGTCACTGAATCTCAGCCATTTGGAGTGCGGAATGACGATCACAATGGGTGTTGTGTGTTCCTTAAGTCCAAAAGTTTACATCGGTAGTTAAAACTAGTCGATTCTCTCGTGCCTCTTCCAATACTCATAACATTCAGCCTCATTTGCTTTATGGATAAGATTTGATTTTGATAAATCATTCTGTCTAATACAGTAATATTAACTGATGATGTTTCCAGCCCAAACTGTTGATCATAATCATATCAACTTGCTCACACAACTGATTTCTTCATTGACATGATTATGTGCAATAGTTTGTGCTAGAAACGTCACCAGTTAGCATAAGTGCATAACACTTTGTTTTTTTTCAAAATGAAATCTTATCCACAATGGAGTTGTGCTTCACCACCGTTTGCTTGAGTATGAAATCGAGAATGCTCACCTTCTTTCATTTCCTTTACAGAAGCTGGAGTAGAAAACTAGAGAAGAATGAGAATGTCCTGCCCACGCTGGCATAGTGAACGTGTATTCTGCACATTCTTGGTGTGCAATGGATTTCATGAACACTTAATTAAATAACCCATTTTCATTATAACGCTTACTGTCTGTCTTTTAAATATAATTGCATCATTCTAATATTTGACTTCTTCCGACTGATCAGATGAATTCGATGTTCTCAGTCTGAGTAATTTGTATACCAGCCGACGCTTACAAAATCATACTTGACATGATGGTGTATATACTTCAACGATTTATTTCATCAGTTAGGAAGATTTCCATCCACTGTAGGTGTTACTGAGATCAGTCAAACTAATTTTGTTGTATCAGGAGAGTATGCAGGTAAGTGGGTAATTGAGTAAGTGTGTAAGTGAGTAAGTGAGTGAATACTTGAGCAAGTGAGTAAGGGAATACGTCAGTTTGTAACTGAGTAAGTAAGTAGCTGTGTCAGTGTGTAAGCGAGTAAATAATCACGTAAAAATGTGAATGAGTAAGTGAGTAGGTGAGGATGTCAGTATATCAGTAAGTAAGTGATCAATTGATTGAGTAAGTAATTTAGTAACAGAATAAGTGAGTAAATGAGTGAGCGTCTAATTGAGTAAGTTTATATACAAGTAAGTGTGTAGGTGATGATGTGAGTAAGTGAGTAAGTGAGAATGTGAGTACGTCAGTGAGAGACTAAGTGAGTAAGATAGTAAATCAATGAGTGAGTAGGTGAGTAAGCGAGTATGTGTGTGGGAAAGTAGGTAATTGAGAAATTGAGTAAGTGTTTGAGAGTAAGTGAGACTTTCAGTTAGTGGGTAATTGATTATATGAATAGGGTAGGTGTAAGTGTGTAGGTGCGAATGTAAGTGAGTGAAAAAGTAAGTACGTGTGTAAGTGAGTAACTAAATAAGTGAGAACGTGATTACGTGATTAAGTGAATAAGTGAGTATGTGAGTAAGTAATTAAGTAAGTTAGTGAGTGAAGTCGTATTTGAATAAGTGAGTGATTATTTGTGTAAGTGAGGATGCGATAAATTGAGTAATGAGACAGAGAACAAGTGTGTTATTGATTAAGGGTGTAAGTGGGTATGTGACTAAGGTAGTTATTGTAAAAGTGTGTAAGCGAGTATATGGGAAAGTCATTATATGAGTACGTGAGTAATTCCCTAAGTGAGTTGGTGTGTAGGTAAAAAAGTGAGTAAATGAGTAAAGTAGTATGTAAATAAGTGAGTAAAATATTATATGAGGAAATGAGTAAGTGATTGATTATGAAATTGAGTAAGAGAGTGAATCACTAAGTAAATACGTAAGTAAGTAAGTAAGTAAGTAAGTGAGTAGGTGTGTAAGTGATTAAGGTACTGATGGTGTAAGTGTGTGAGCGAGTAAATGAGTAACGAATACGTGAATTTGTAATTAAGCAAGGTAGTAAGTGAGTTTTTAGTTAAGTGAGTAAGTGGTTGAGAGTTTAATTGAGTCTGTAAGTGAGTAAATAAATGAGTGAGTCGGTGAGTGTGTAAGGTTGTAATTAAGTAAAAGAGTGATTAATTGAGAAAGTGGTAAAGTGATTAAGGTAGTATATGTGTAAGCGTGTCATCGAGTAAATGAGTAAGTGAATACGTGGATAGGTGAGTGACAGACTGAGTAAAAGAATAAGTGAGTAAGTGTGTAGGTGACGATGTGAGTAAGTATGGAAGTTATTCATCGAGTAATTGAGTAAGCGAGTAAGTAAGCAAGTAAGTAAGGGCAGAAGTGAGTATGTCAGGAGTGAGTATTGGAGTAGGTGAGTAATTGATTAAGAGACTAATTGAGTAAGTAAATATGTGAAAAAGTAAATAAGTGAATAATTGAATTAGAGAATAAACGATGAAGTCAGTCAATGTGTAAGAGTGAGAGCAAGTAATCGAGTAAGTGACTAAGTGAATGTGTAAGTGATTAAGTGAGTGAGTTTGTAAGGTAGTCAACCAGTAATTAAGTAACGATCAAATGAGTAAGTGAATAAGTTATTGAGTGAGTAATTGAGTAAAAGAGAGAGTGAGAAAGTGCATAGGGATGTAATTCAGTGAGTGAATCAGTAAGTCAGTAAGTGCGTGTTTCAGTGAGTAAGTGAATAAGTGTGTAATTGAATGAAGGAGTAAGTGTATAAGTGAATGAGTATGTGATTAAGTTATCAAGTGTTTGAGTGGGTAAACGAGTAAGTATCAAGTGAATAATTAGGTGGGAAAGTGTTTAAGGTTGTAAGTACGTAAATGTGTAAGCAATTAAATGAGTAAGTGAAAAGATGATTAGGTGAGTGAGTGAAAGTGAGTAAGAGACTAATTGAGTAAGTGAGTATGTGAGTAAATCGACAAATGAGTAATCACGTAATAGAGTAAGAGTGTAAGTGATTAAGTGAGTAAATGAACAATTGAATGAATAAGTGAGTAGCTCTGTGGGTGTGCACGTGAGTGAGTGAAAAAGTAAGTAAGTTAGTGAATAAATGAGTAAGTGAATGAGGAGTAAAGTGAGTAAGGTAGTACGTGTGTATAAATGAGTAAGTGAATGAGTAATGAATAAGTGCGTAATTGTGTAATTCAGTAAGCGAGTAAGTGAGTCATTGATTATGTGAGTAACTGGGGAAGAGAGTGAGTAAGTAAATCAGTAAATTTGTTAGCGATTAAGTGAAAATGTCAGTTATTGTACAAGTGATTCAGTGAGTAATTGATTAGGAGAGTAAGTGAGTAAGTGATTAGGTGTATATTTGAGTAAGTGAGTAAGTGCCCAAGTGATTGAAAAAGTTTTTAAGTGAGTATGTGCATGAGTCAGTGAGGGACTAATTCAGTTAGTTAGTAAATGGGTGAATGAGTTAGTGAATGAGTAGGTGGGAATGTGTGCAAGTGAGTAACTGTTTAATCTGTAGGTTAGTAAGTGAGTAAGTGAGTAGATGTGTAAAAGAGGAGGTGAGTAAGTAAGTAAGTGAGTAAGTATATGTAAGAGTAAATGATTAAGTGACCAAGTGAGTGAGTGTGCGAGGAAGTCAATGAGTGACTAAGTGAGTAATTCGGTAAATGAGTAAGTGAATAAGTGGGTATGCGAATAAGTGAGTTGGTGAGTAGTTGGGTAAATGAGTTATTTAGGTGAGTATTTGAGTAAGTGAGAAAGTGCGTAATTGAATAAGTGAATAAGTGGGTAAATGTATATGACAGTAAGTGAGTAAGTGATTAATCATCATTAGGTGGGTAAGTAATGGATTATTGAGTAGGTGAATTGGTGTGTAAGTGAGTAATTTAGTAAGTCAGTTCGAGAGTAAGTAGTTAATTAAGTAATTAAGTAAGAGAGTAGGTTAGTAATTGTGTAAGTGAACAAGTGTATATGTGAGTAAGTGGGTAAGTAAGTGTTCTGTGCGACAAAGAAAGCATTCGGCGTGATACCTGTAACTATATAAATCGTCGGTAGAACAATTGGATCTCGTCTTTCCCACTCATATCATTTATAGGTACAACGTTTTCTTCTTCTCTTTTCCTTTTCTCTCTCTCTTATCTTCTGTTATGTGCTGCTTTTTTCTTCCTTTCTACTTCTATTTAAAAGATTCTTCTTCTTTATTTCACAATGTGTTTACCTCGACTTTTTTGTTACCGCTTACGCCAGTAAATATGCTGACATCTACTTTTCTAACACCTACAAACACTCTGTTCAATTTTTCGCCTTGCTACTGACATGTCAATATGTTGCTGTCATAATGAACTGAGATTTCCTTAATCTATGTAGAATTTTATTTTTATTGATAATTTGCCAAATAAGTGAGAGTATAGTTGAAAGTGTGTAAGTGAGTAGGTTTATAATGAGTAAGTGTGTTAGTGAGTATTTGACTGAGTGAATGTGTAGGTGAGTGAGTATGTGAATAAGTGTGTGGGTGTGTTAGTGAGAAGTTTAGTAACTGTGTAAGTGTGTATGCCAGTAAATGAGTGAGTGAATAAGCTAGAATGTCATCAAGTGTGTAAGTGAATAATTGAAAAAGTGAATAAACGAGTAGGTGTGTTAGTAAGTGAGTGAGTAAGATTGAAGGTGAATGCGTGAGAAAATTATGTAAGTGAGTAATGGTGTTATGGGTAAGTTAGCAAGTGGTTAGGGTAGTCATCGTGTAAGTGAGTAATCGAGTAAATGAATTAGGCAGTAATTGAGTAGCTTTGTAAGTGAGTAAGTGATTAAATGTGTACTTGATTAGGTGAGTAGTTGTGTTAGTGTGTAAGTGGTTGAGTATGTGAATAAGTGAGTAGGTGAGTGAGTGAGTGAGGAAGTGAGTAAGGAGTTGATTCAGTAAGTCAGTATGTGAATAAGTATGCAAGTGAGTAAATGAACAAGAAAATAAGTGAGTAAGTGATTAAGTAAGTTAATAAGTGAATAAGAGATCAAGTTAGGCAGTGACTATGTGAGTGATTATTAGAGTAAGTTAGTGAGGTAGTATATGAGTAGATATGTAAGACAGTAAGTGAGTAAGTGAATATGTGAGTAAGTGACTAACTGTGTAAGTGAATAAGTTAGAAATTGTGTCAATAAGTTACCGAGTAAATAAGTAAGTTAGTAAGTGAATGAGTAAGAGAGTAGGTGAGTAGTTGATTAAGTGATCAGGTGAGTAATTAGGTAATAGAGAAATTGATTGAATTAGTAGGTGAGTATATTAGTAAGTGAGTGAGATTGAATTTGAATACGCGAGTGAATGTGTAAGTGATTATGTGTTTAAGTGAGTAGCCGTTTATTGAGTAAGTTAGTAGATGAGTAAGGTAGTAATTGTGTGTGGGATTGATTGTGTTGCTATTTGAGGGAGTAAGTGAGTAAGTGGGCAAATAATTTAGTGGGTAGGTAGGTATGTAAGTGAGTAAGTGAATAAGAGATCAAGTTAGACAGTGACTATGTGAGTGATTATTTGAGCCCGTTAGTGAGGTAATATATGGGTGGATATGTTAGATTATAAGTGAGTACGTGCGAAAGTGAGTAAGTGTCAATGTGTAAGCGAGTAGGTGAGTA